TTGGGGTCTCTGATGTTGTGTGCGACCCTTCGCATTTGTATAGTACTTAAGGGAAACCCAGGAGGGGCATAGGAGCTTTTATCTCAGGTTGGGAGACGAGGAAGAAACTAAACTTGAGCAAGGATAATGGCAAGTTGAGAAGGGTGAGCTTTGTTATTATTTCTGTTTTTCGTTGGAGGGAACTGAACAGAGAGCTTAAGTAACTTGTTTAGTTTTACCCAGCAAGACTGAAACTCAGGTTGCTGGCTGCAAGGCTCCAGGCTCCATGTGTTGCTGTTCTCTCAGGAGCTTGCAGCCTAGCAAGGCAATTGTCTGGTCACAGTGAGGCAGGCCCCACGCAGGCTCCTTCACTGGTGCGTTGAGGGACTGTGAGATCTGGGGACTGCTGACATTAGCCATTCAGAAGGCCATCGAGGTGCATGTGTGTGTGTGTGGGGGGAAGCACAAGAAGTGTTAGGGTCCAGACAACTTTCCAAGAATATATTTCCTCCATGGGACTTGGGGCGGGGGGATCTCAAGTCTATTTCTTTTAAAATTAACCAAAACATCTCCTTTTGTGTTACATTAAGAAGTAAAAACTATTGCTAGAAGTTGGAAAAAAGAAGTCAGGACTCTTTCTTTAACAATAGCCAAGAAAATCAAATAAATGAAATAAAGGTCTTTGATCATTCATCATCTAGCTTTCCGAAGTGGCACAGTTAAGCCTTTCTACCTCAGGTATGTCCTGAATGTGCCTGGACAGAAATTTCTGCTACCAAGAGGGATGGAAGAATCAAGGGGAGGAAACGAGGAAGACTGCATAAGACCCCAGACAGCTGGCCCAGGGAACCAAAGGGATAGGCCCATCCTCCCCTGCTTCTCTCCATCTCACACCCCAGCCTCAAAGAACTCCTGGAACTTCCCAAGTACTCTGTGCTCTTCTGCTCTGTGCTTTTGTGTCTGCTGTTCCTTCAACTGGGAAGACTCATCCCCTGCCTTTCTTTCACCACTTGGTACCATCTTGCTCATCTTTCACTGTCCAACCCAAATGGTGCCTTGTCATAGAAGTTTTCCCTAAATCCCCCAGGATGGAGCTCCCTTCTCTGGACATCCTGTCATTAAAATATTCATTCATCCATTCATCATGTGACAAATATTTATAGGAAACCTACTATGTGACAGGTGCTATCATAGGATCTGAAGTGAACAAGACAAATAGGGATCTGCCTTTAAGGAGCTGACACCCAGGTGGGGATGACAGACTCTAAATAACAGGTACTCAAGATAGTGGAAGGTTGCAAAGTGTACTAGGAATGCACTAAGATGAGCCACAGGTGGTGAATGGCAGAGACGATGAAGGCAGAGGCTACTTTAGAGGGTGATCAGGGAAGTCCTCTGACATTTGAGCTGAGCCTCAAAAGATCATTAGAATCAGCCACTCAAAGAAGCTGGCATACTGGGCATGGTGGCCCACACCTGTAATTCCAGGTTCTGGGGAGGCTGAGATACGAGGATCACTTGAGCTCAGCAGTTCAAGATCTGCCTGAACAAAAAAGTAAGACTCCAGTTAAAAAAAAAAAAAAAAGAATACTACCAAAAACAGCTGGCAAGAGAATTCTGTGCAAATAAAGGCACTCAAGCAAGGAAAAGTGTCCCAGTGGCTGGATTGTGATGTACACTGCAAGTCAGGCGAGAGATTTTCAGGGCCCAGACCATGCAAGGCCATGCAGGCCAGGGTCAGGGTTTGGCATTTATCCTATGTACCAAGCAAAGCCATTGTCACAGGGAAACACTGTGAAAGGATACCCTGCTCGTCATGTAGGTAATGGAGTTTAGTGGCATGTGAGTAGAGGCACTTGAAACAATTCTCCCAAGAGATTTTAGTAGCTTTAATTAGAGTAGCAGCAGTAGAGATGAAAAGAGGACATATTTGATAGATATTTTGGCTACTGCCATAGGAACTACATATGGGTTATATGTAGGAAGAACCAAAGATGAAGCAAAGGTTTGTGACTTGAGCAATGGAGTAGATAGTTATGCCGTCTATAGGAATGGAGAATATGGGCGGACCCCCATTGGGATAGTGACAAGGAAATTGAGAGTTCTGAAATGAATCTATGCAGTTTGAAATGACCATTGGATCCCAGAATAGAAGTATCAAGTAGGCAGTTAGATTTATGGAAGTGGATCCCTGGGAAGAGGACTGGACTGAAGATGTACATGTGGGCATCCTTAGCATAGAGGTGCTATTTAACACCCCTGGGAGAGGTCCCTGGACTGAGCCTGAAGACCTATAAAATTAAGAGTTTGCATAGCAGAGACTGTGAAGTTGGCAGGAACAAGTCGGAGGAAAACTAGGAGAATATGATTTTTTCATGAAAAACAAGAAGTTGTTTTTAAAAAAAGGTTTTAAGAGGAGGGTCTGGCCTACGATCCTGTAGAGGGCCCAAGCCCACGTCCAGTTCATCTCTGCATCCACAGGACACATCAGACCTAGCACTCAGGGAATATTTTGCTGAGTTACTTATGGGATAAATGAATGAATGAGCCAGAATTCTAGAATCAGAGACAGAGGCAATGAGGGAAGTCATAGGGCCTTAGATTCTACCAAGAGGAGCTGGGGAGGAAATCATAACAATATAGCCCTTCCTAAGTGCCAGGGAATTAAACTTCCAACAGCTTTATAAAATAGAAATGTCACTTATAAGTAAGTACACTCTGGAACAGAGAGGTTAAATAACTTGCACGGGAACCCCTAAATCACATAGTAATAATTGGCAGAACCCAAGTATTCTGACTCTGTAATCCGTGCTCCTCACTATGACACCATAGAAGTTGGTGACATTTATGAGGTACCTCTTGGTCTGGTCCTGTAATTATTCTTACAACAAATGTATGAGCTAAGTACTATCATGTGAGGAAACTAAGGCAAGGAGCTTGTAAGTGGTAGAGCCGAGAGTCAAACAAGTCTTTCTTATGCAGGACTACGTTCTTTATCTTAAGCTATTCAAAATGGTCCAGACTCTCCATCTGTGACCTCTCTGGGCTCAGAAGAATAAATTTCAGGACAAAGGAAATTTGTGAAAGTAACAGGTGTGGGAAAATTCAAAACTAGTAAAATCATATATATATATTTATTTCCAAAGTGCTTTTTACAACTCTATTTGGGAGTAAAAAGTTAAATCCGCATGTAAACAGAGACATTTCAACATCTCCTTCTAAGGATCCAGCAAGACCCAGGTCTGGCCTGGCAGAAGAGAGACTTCCCCTGCTTCCCTCCTCCTCCTCCACCTCTACATCCACACAGGAGTTTTGGGTTTATAACAGACCTTCCCAGGGCAAAGGAAGAACTCCTGATCCCTGCCTCCTGTTCCTCACATAGTGACTGGTAACCTCAATGATGGCCGTGCAATGGTTCTGATCCAGAAGGACAGGCAGGAGAGCAGAGTGGTTTGAAGGGCTGGTGGACATGGCTTCCAGGCTCAATTTAGTCATGGGTGAGCTTTATGACCTATAGAAGTCATTTTCCCTCTCTGAGCTTCTATTTTCTCATCTGGAGATTGGGTACAATAATCTTAAACACAGCACTATCAGGAAGTTAAGTGAGGTAGCTGGATTTATGCCTGACAAAATGTCAGTTTATGTGCTCTCAATATATTCTTTTCAATTACACAGTGACACTATATGCAGGTGCTGCACTTGGCACTGGGCATGTGACTTCCTGGATCTCAAAACCTTGTGGGGAAGATGGACATTTTACAAGCCATTGCATGTGTAATGAGGAATTGAGGGAGAGGAGCAGGTGCAGCAGAGAGTTGAGAGGAAGTTGGGGACCCAGTTTAGATAAGCGAAAATTTCTTCCTTGCTCAACAGGAAATCTATCGACAATAACGACCATCTTGCATGTTTGTAGAGTTTATAAATTATTCTCAAGTCAATTGGTTCATCTGACTCTCAAGCATACACTCACTTAAGTAGGCTTATGATCTTAATTGTGAAGATCTTCTAGCTAGTCAGAGGTTGAGCTGGGATTGTAACGTACATCTTACCACCTCCAAAGCCTCTGCGTAATTCTCACCCTTTCAGAGTAACCCCACATGCCTGTTCCCGCAACAAGAATGGGTAATGGTAAGAGCAGAAAAGCCAGACCTTTCCTCAAGAGCCCCAATCTCAGCAGAAAGATGAGATAAAATAGTCAAGGAGCTCTCCACTAAGAAGAGACCAAGTCCATGAGAGCTAAGGGACATTTTAATTTGATAATTAAAAGTTAATGTTGCTCCATTATAAATCAAAGGCTGATGAAATTAGGGTACCCCAGGCACATATTAGGAGCTCAATAAATAGCTAAGGCCTAAATGCTTGGGGACACCTACTGAGGGAGGTTATCAGCTATTTAGTGGGTCCAACATTAGGTCCTTTCTTCCCAGGAAACTCATCTCGACTCTCCTACCAACCGGCTCTGTGATTCTGGAGAAGTCGTTCTCCCTCTCTGGGCTTCAGCTTCCCCATTTAGAGAATGTTTTCTGTGGCTTCTCAGGGCTTTTTTTTACCCTTATCTCCTAAGAGTCTTATATCCTTCAAATAGTTTACCTTCCCGCTTTGTACTGTCTTCTGTCCTGTGGCTGGGGACAGACCCTGCCAGCCTTCCCCACCTCATCTCCTGCTAGACACAAGTGCCGAGTCTTCTTCCCTGGCATGGCCCTGTAGGGAGAGCCTGCTACAAGACAGCAGTTCAGTCATTTCCCTGTCCCTGTCCCTATGCTGCCTTCCCACATGGCAGAAAATTACCATTTTCAAAGAAGTGCTCAGGGGTGCCAGGATTTATGCTAAAATTATGTACTTTACCCTGGGGGAAAACAAGATGGTTCCTTTTTGTTTAATTCGGTGTAGGTGGCTGGAGGAGAGGGGAGAGAAAGGCAGACAGGGACCTGACATCTGTTGATTCTGTCTTTCTTCCTTTCTCCCTTCACTCATCCTGCCCCTTCTCTCCTCTCTCCTCCTCCCCCTCATTCTCTCCACAGTACAGTGGAGGCAGACAGACGTGCATGCGTAGGCCTGTCGGGCGCTGTGAGAGATGGACATGAAGACTACCTGGAAATTCAGCAGGTGGAGCCATCAATCTAATGGGTGGCCAGGAAAGACTTCAGAGGAAGTGACTGACAGGGGAGAAGGTACTCACCGAGTGGGTGTAAGGAAGAGGAGTCTCCAGCCGGGAGAGACACAGTCCAGGCTGAGGGACATTGTAAGCAAAAGTCCCACGACTCAAACCTCCCAGTCCATTAAGGGAACTCCAAGGTGTCTGGCATGACTGAAGGGCCCAGGGGCAGTGAGGGGAGAAAAGCGCTGGAGAGGCTTCCGTGGGCCTGTTCATGGGAGGCGTTGGAAGCCACTAAGGAAACATGACTTTTCCTATAAACAGAAAATAGAGAGCCACACAAGTGTTTTATGGAGCACGTCAGGACTACATTTGGATTTTATCAAGACTGTTTAGAGGCTTTGGTGAAGAATTGGACATTATGAGTCTCAGGAGCATGTAGAATAGTTAGGGCACTTTTTTTATAATCCAAATGAGAATCAATTAAAAATGATAAGGCCCTGAATTAAATCAGGGCCAGGGAGGACACAGCGAAGGGTACAAATAAGAAACCTATTAGAAAGTGAGATGGATAGTGGGGCCTAAGTTTACACTGATTCTCAACTTTTGGACTTGAGACCAGATGGATGATGGAGTCCTTCATGGAATTTGGGGATGTCATTATCTTGTAAGTTTAAGTTTCATGTTTGCATCCTAGGTAACTATCTTAGTCCTTCTCCTTGTTGGGCTGCTCTAACAGAATACCTGAGGTTGGATGACTTATAAAGAATAGAAATTAATTTCTCACAGTTCTGGACACTGGGAAATCTGAGCTCAAGATGACAGCATCTGGTGAGGGCCTTCTGCTGCTGCACGTTCACATGGCAGAAAAGAAGAAGGCAGAAGGACCCAAAGGGACAAACTCTATGTCCTCTCATTGCATAAGAATAGAAGAGAGGGCTGGGGATGTGGCTCAAGCGGTAGCGTGCTCGCCTGGCATGTGTGTGGCCCGGGTTCGATCCTCAGCACCACAAACAAACAAAGATGTTGTAGTAATAAATATTAAATAAACATTAAAATTCTCTCTCTCGCTCTCTCTCTCTCTCAAAAAGAAAAAAGAAAATGAGAAAGCATGGTGGTGCAAACTTTGGAAAAAAAAAAGAGTAGAAGAGAGCAGCCCTACTCCTGTGAGCCCTTTATAGGATAATTAATCCATTGGAGGGTGGGGCTCTCATGACCTAAATACTTCCCACAGGGCCCCACCTCCCAACACTGTAGCACTAAAGATAAAGTTTCCAAGCATGGATTTTGGAGGGCACCTTTAAACCAAAGCAGCACTTGTCCCCAGTTAGGTAAGGAGAGTTCACATGTTTAATGGTCTTAGGTTTTATTATTTTGATCCAAAACAAGTTGACTTCCCCTAACGATAGCTATTTGAATGAAATGAAAATTTTCTCTATCAAATAATCACAATATGTTTTCTACAAAAATAGAGCTCTTTCTTAAAATAGTTAAGCATGCATTGCACATTTTTGTTAGGCTATAAAATCAGAAAAAGAGATTTAAAAAAGTCAAGCACCTAAATACACATACTCAAATATCTGGGTCTCCCACTAGAACGTAAATGGGGTGAGGGCTCCAGGCATCTGCTGCCTCTGAAGAGGCTTCACTCCTCCAGGAAGCAGCGAGGAGTGAGGAGGCAGAGGTGAGAGTAAAGAAAGGGTCAGATGAGGAGGTGTGGGAGCAAATCAGGCTCCATCTCCTGGTTTGCAGGGAAGTCTCAGAATAGAGCATCCTCCTCCTTCATCCACATCTATGTAAAAATATTTAGCAAAAGCCCATGGAATGGCGTTGTGTTTCTCTGGCTCTTTGAATCGTCTGGAGTTTTGCTCTTCCCCGCTTTCTGTTGACACTTGAAATACTATCGACAATCTACACAATGTGTTCACAAGCCTTATCTCCTTCTCACACCCCAGCTCAGGTCTACACAGGTAGTAAATGGCAGAGCCAAAGATAAAACCCAAGTACAAGGTCTTCCCACGATATCATTCTGCTTTGAGTCTTTAATCTTTGTCCTGTTCTTAGGACAGCCCCAAAGTGTAAATTACAACAGACATGTAAGATTTTTTCCACAAATGTGAATATGAGGTCCTTGGTGACCTGCCTTCATCTCTTTCCCCATTTCCTATTGTCTGTGGACCGGCTGTCTACACCTTCCCCAGGCCAGGTGGAGAACTTACCCACTCCTCCACCATCTCTGTACCTCCCAAAGCCTTGCTCATACTGTTCCCTCAGCCAGGAATGCCTAACCCTCACCCTCCCTAGCATCCTCTGGATCCCAACACAAACATCTCGACCTGGGTTAGACTTCCCCAGCCCACCAGGTGTGGGTGACCATGTTCCTTCACTTCCTTTGTCTCTGACACTCCATGTTCATTCCATCCGAATCACTGTGTCATTGTTATTGCTTTGTGTGTGTTTCTCCCATTGGATCAAGCATGTCTTGAGGCCTGAAGTCACACCATGTTTACCTTGATGTGTTCAGGCACACAAAAGGTGCTGAAGACACTCTTAATGAATGAATGAATCAATGGGTTATTGATGGAAAAGAAAACGTCTTTGAGCAGAAATGATCTCCATCCTTGGTGCTCTGTGAGAAATGCTATAGTGGAAGAGGGAGAGAAGGGCATACATCAAAGGGATATAATGGGTAAAAAAAAAAAAATCTTCCCTATTCTCTCTGGGCTCTTTCTCTTTTTTCCCCTGTCTCTTGCTATTGGAACAAAAATAAAGAGTACATCATAAGCAAAGCTGTATTTTCTGTTTATTGCCACCAGGTTAATAACAGTAATGGTGTGAGAAGAAAATGAGGTGTTATGTAAAATCCTGCATTGCAGATTTTGCTGCTGATGTAAAGAACTCAATAAAGTGTAACACTTTAATCATGGAGATAAAAATCACACAGCAGCTTCCCACAGGCTCCCAGAGCCTTAAGACAAAATAGTTGTGGGGAAATGAGAGATGAGAGAAGAATATTATCAGGCATCAGAAAAGTTGTTTGGGCTTTTTTTTTACCCCCCTTTCTCTAAAAAAAAAAAAAATGGAATAAGCTTTTCTATCTGCTTCTAAGACACCTTGGATGAATTTCTGTATTCTGCATTCTCTAGAGGACACGCTCAAACTTCTGGGAGAGGATTTTGCTCATTCTTTGTAAAAATTGATTTGTTTAGAGAGAATTCAATTCCTGCCTTTTTGGTAACTCGGTGGCATCTAAGAATACAGGGGCAGTCTCTAAAAATGAAAGAAAGATTTGGGTGGAGGCAAGGAGATGGTTGATAGTAAAATCTCTGTGATGCGAGAGAAAGATTGTTGCAGAAGCAAGGACTCTTGTGTCTGTTCTGGTGACTCTGAAGAAATCGCCTCTGTCTCAGTGTCCCAGATTCATCATTCTTCTGATGCACTTGGTACTCTCTAAGGGTCTTTCCAGCTCTGCCACTTGGTCTGTGAGGCCAGTGGCTGGGCTCTTGACCTTGTCTGTTGTGGCTCTGGATGACACTCCATGTTAGGACAGCCCAAAAGAGTAAATTACGACAGACATTTAAGATTTTTTCACAAATGTGAATATCAGGTCCTTGGTAATCTGCCTCCATCTCTATACCCATTTCCTACCTACTGTGGACAGGCTACCTACCTGTGACCTCCTGCTGTCCTTGCTATTTCTACTCAAAACATCTCCTTCCCACCCCCCGCCCCCAACAACCCATCCCTGCAGCCAGCGAGATCTATTTATAACAAGAGGAAATCACACCTACACCCAGACACTATGCACACCTGCTGTAAGGCAGCACGAGCACTGGTCATGCAGAAGAGAACAGCTTTGGAACTGGAGATCTGGGCTCAAATCTGAACTGCCTATATGACTTTGAAGGAGTCAATTCATTTTGAAAAGCCTCAGTTTCCTTATCAGCAAAAATAAGGTGACAGTAAGACCACTCACATCACAGGGCCAACATGGGTTAAGTTAGTATGTGTCTAAGTGTCTGAAAAACAGTAGCTTTTTCAGCAATTTTTTCAAATCATAATAATTATTTCAGGAGTAATTAAAAACAAGAGCATATCCTGGGGCTTGTTTTGTCTAATATAGTAGTCACATGTGACTATTTAAGTTTAAATTAGTTGAAATTAACTTTTAAAAAAATTTTAGTTCCTCAGTTGTACTAGCCAGATCACAAGTGTTCAACGGCTTTGTGTGGCTGGGAGCTGCTATACTGAATACTGCAAAGGACACTCCATTGTCACATGAGTTCTACTGCATGGAGCTACTCTAGCTTCTCAGCAGTCATAGACAATGGGTTGAAATTTAAAACATATGGCCATCCACAACCCTAATTGCACAAATACTTGCTTATGCACACAAACTCATATTCACATACAAAAACACAAATAGAGAGTATCAAGATTAGTGACAAAATATGCTTCATTACTAAGGAAACATCATCTGAGTCCTGACTCCGAGGCAAGTCATTGAGCTTTGAAAAAGTCAGGTCCTGTGCCAGCAGTTCACATTGGACATTATATCACTTAATCCTTGTGACAACCTTAATAGGAGGTATTAGCCTCATCTAATTGATTCTGACATTGAGACCCAGAGTGGTTGAACAACTTGATTGAAGTCACAAAGCTTGTAAGTGACAGAGCAGGATGTATTCCCCACTATATAATACTGCTTCTTAAGGGGATATTTCAGAGACAAGGAGATTATAGGACAAAGTCATCACAAACTCTTTGAAATCTTTTTAAGGAGGCAGATGGTTGAAACATCCTGGGGATGACCTGGAAGTCCCAGGTTATTTGCAGAACCTGTAGAATTCAGTGACATTGATTCTGATTCTACGTTGAAAACTTTTTAACCTAGCTTTCTTGGCTTATGGAATGTGGTGTCCAATCTATGTGGGACCAGCTCACATCTTCAGAAAATGGGAGCTACGTGGAAAGGGTCCTGAGACTGTGAAAAACAAAAACAAAAACAAAAACAAAAAACCCCAACTTGCACATCAACTGGAGCAGTGGTATTTGCATAATTTATTTTTCTCTCTTATTTTAAAGGCCTAGGTTCTCAAAAATGGTGAGGAGTGGGCTATAGGGGGAAGGGGATCACATGTGAGATTTCATGCGACAGGATGGTTTTAAGACAGTGACTGCCTATAAATATAGACAAGCACAGCTACAGAGTCAAAGAGGTGCTTGGTGAATGGTTGGATGCATGGATGGATGGACAGACAAGTGGACAAATAGCCCTCAAGTTAGAAGCAACTAGCAGAGGCTTCTATTTCAGCATTTCATGAACTTCTCTGATCCTTCAAATGGCTGGTATTGCTTCTGATTTATCATAAAGTCTCTCTCACACCAAATATACATCATGGTATATAGCCTAGAGCCCATACTCAATGAATGTTGTGGGTAGGGGGCATGCCTGAGAGAGCAGAGCTAGATGATAATAATCCTTCACATTTGTATGGTACTTTGTAATATATAAAAAGATTTCATGTGCAATATCACACTTAATCCCTAATCTAATCATTTGAGACTGGCATTATGATCCTCACTTTATTGGTGAGGGACCCTTGGCTCAGAGTAGTGAGGTGACTTGCCTAGTGTTAAATACGGAAGCCAAGGGATCAGATAAGTAGGCAGGTGAGGCAGAGGCTGATAACTAGATCAATACAGGCAGAGATAAGATGAGGAGACCAAGATGTGGATAAATGATGGAGACAAATGAAGATGGATGGATGGATTCTGAGAGCCCCCCCAA